CCCCCCCAAAAAAAAAGGAGTAATACTGGGCAGGGGTTCATTGCCTACCTGAAGCATTATCGTCAGAATCCAAATGGCGACTTTTGTTGGTCTTGTGGAGGCTTCGTGCTTTAACAAGTGCATGGGGTGTGAGTGGCTGTGTCTCTGTCCCAGAGAGGACAATACGTACGCCGCAAAGAGGAGGCACAAAAGGCACGCAGCTAATTCTTATTCCGAGCGCGCGGCATCACATCCAAGCCGCTCACCTGCCAGTTTGGCCCCAATGGTTTTGGTTGAAACAGAACATGCAGGAACCCAAAAGGGCAAACGGGCTTGAAAAGCCTGGTGAAGTTCAGCAAAGTCGAGCAATGCTGTTCTCATGATACAATTGGGGCTGGTTTTTTGGCCTCCCCTGGCATCACGCAAAATCGCCCTAAACGGGGCCCTATTTCCAGTCATGCACTCCTTCGAAGAACCCAATCGCGATGAACCCAGCGCTCGCGCCGCGCCTTGTGCTCCTTCTTGAAGGATGGCTTGTTGTGGTTGGAACCCGCCACCAGGTAGTTCCCCCGGATCTGCCGAGCACCGAGCAACGTCAACCCATCAATGTGGTGGGTTTGGGGGGGGGGGGGGTTCGATGTTCCTCAACTGGGCTGTCCTCAGATCCCCTGCTAAAAGCTTGCCTTTTAGTGGGTTAACTGTAAACACACACCACATGTCCCCAAAGCAACATACTCTCAGGGTCCGATTTAGTACGAGCTGAGCCCTGATGCCCTGCAAACCAGCAGCCTCTTGGTGACTTGGGATTTCCTTCAAAGAAAGCGGATCCAAAACTGACTTCTCCCCACGAATACCCACCATTCGACCACCCGTTTGCCGTACGGGCGCCAATCAGCGCTCCTTGCAGGGGGCTGCTTGCAGGGGATCAGCAGTTATTCAAGCGTGTTGGTAGAATTATGCGCGTTCCTTTCGGTTCGCTTAAATACCATTCAAGCCCGGTTCTAAGTGGGTCTGCAAAGAAACAAATACCCATCTCCTCTTGGTTCGCTAAGACATACCCATCGACCCTTGGAAAGTCAGCCAAACAAAGCGGGATTCGGGCCCTCTTGTCGGCATCAGCAAGACCTGCGACCTGCCTCCCGACAGCCGAAACTCACAAGATACAGCCGAACAACTCATACAGCGCCTGATTCACCAAAAAAACAACAACTCTCATTCAGCGACATGTCATGTTCAATAGCAACCTCTGTGCTTCTGACACGGAGATTTTTGCATGGCTCCCGCCTGAAGGCCGCCTACCCAAAACATGCTTCTTCCCCCGTAAGGAAAGTCCAGCCGCAAGCTGCTTGAGACATGCAGGGCCAAATGTGCGGCGGGAACTAGATTTTGCACACTCACCAAAATACAAGTAGACAATAGGGAGTGTCCCTCAGCCAAATCAAAGGTGAATCTGACACAATGCATGATTGGAAAATAAGTTGGCTTGCAAAAGTCCTTGAACGCTTCATGTCATTCCGTAGGTGTTCAAAAGACCTTACGCGCAGTCCAAAAGCAACATTAACCAAAACCTAGCAACTATCAGAAAAGGCAGGGCAGGCGTTTGTTTCCAGCTGAGTTGAAAGGACCCCCTCCCTCTTGTGAAAAAAAGGACAAAGATTCATCCCCAGGGGTCTGGGAAGACCAACGTCATGTCTCGGGGCCCAGCAATGGGCCCCACGCTGGTGTGCACGCACCCGCTGACCGTGATCTGGGCCTGAGCGCGCTTTTGCTTTTTGGGCAACGCGCGGGGCGCGCGCCTCGCAGTTCTGCCAATCACCGGACATGATGCAGCCTAGACAAGAAACAGAGCGATGGCGTACTGCCTGTGTGGCTGATACCTTTGGCTGAAGGGGATCTTCACTTTGCACAAGGTTCCGCTAAAGAATATGTTCCATGTGGGTAGATTATGCTGATTCCCTGGCAAAAAGTAAGGCATACGCCCGCCGCCCCCCCCCCCCCCGTAGAGGACCTCCATCATATGCGAGCTCCTGATAGTTCGTCCAGTTTCGTATATGTAGATGCCGACAGAACACATATGTCATGCATCCGCATCAGTAGCCATTTGCCTCGACCAGCTAGAAACAAGCAAGCCTGGCCATCAAAAGATACCAGGCAGGGGGCCCAGTTGGGGAGAGGCATCAAGCCTTGCCTCACCCTCTTCCAGGGTCATGTTTCGTGTGCACGGCTCTCCTAGTTCTCCGTAGCAAAGCCTTAGCAAATTAGCTGGTTCTGGAGACCCCCATCTGGAACTTGAGATTCACTTGGGCATTGATCATCTGCTGCATCGATTCGGCCTTTCGTGTCCAAGTCTAAGTGACGCGCACCTGGACTTGGGGAGAGTGAGCCTTGATTCAACCATGGGCCCGTGTTAGCCATGTGTGAGCACCAGCTTCCTGTGCTGTGGGAGAACTGAGTCTTGGCATAATATATATATATATATATTATGATGCGTACAGTGTGTATATAGTTATTTGAACTAAACGCTAAACACCCTCACAACAAAAAAAGAGGCACCACTGGAAGTTTGACAACACGCTCCCACCCATACATGGCTTTCGGCGACTCAGCTTCGGCAAATGGCGTGCGTTTTAACCGACTATCTCCGTAAACCGCGGCTTCGCGCGTGCGTGCTGGTTGCGCTTGCAATCCGCGGCTTGGAAAGCTCCGCGCTTGGCTCTTCAAGTTGTTGGCAGGCTCTCTAGTTTGTCTAGCTGAACCTCCCCGTAAAACATCGTTTCTTTTTGGACAGGCAGAAAAGGCAATGCCTCAAATGGCCAACTTGCATGTTGGTAAGGAGTTCTGTTCCTAACTAAGGGGGGTTCTGCTTGTTTAGGGTATTGCCGCTATTGCCCAAAAAATGATACATTCAAGACAGTCGTGGTGGCAACTGTTGTTTTCGCATTCATCAAGAACCGGTTGAGGCAACTAGCTGAGCAAACAATGTTTCTTTGGATGTGCAGGCCGCCCTCTCGTCATTTCATCCTTTCTGGTTTGTTTCAACTTGGAATCGGACCCCCGTAATAGCATGGGTTTCAGTAATCCAATTCAGGGCAACGCGCAAAAGGGTAGCCTCAAGCGCCATACGCATATCCCTGCTTTCGGTAAGTCTGCTTCACCCTGCTGTTGGGCAACATCCTGCACTGGTGAGTATCTGCTTCAAGGTGCCAGGTGCTTTGGATCAAACACGCCGGAGACTCCCTCGGGGAACAGCCCTCAGCCATGAGACAAGAGCGGTGCCCGATGAAAGCGTTCCACGCGCTTCTAGAAACCGAGGCCCTTTGGCCACTTGCAGCCGCGGGCAAAAAAGCGCCTTCCACTTCTTGTTGGTTGAATAGCTTTAGGGGCATTCGGAAACCCACTTGAATCAAAGTAGCTGGGGACTTAGCCGGACTTTGTTGGTTGATTTTCATCAATGTGCCCTCCCCATTCTGTTCACGGATCCTTCTCTTCGGAAAATGACCTTTCCTTTCACAACCCAGGTTTAAGATGGGTGGTTTCTGAACAGAAAGATGGGGTGCAGAGAATGGACCTGGAATCAACCCTTGGTCCGGGGCACACCAACAAATGCATGTGTTTGTCGCTTGCCTCCCTTTTTATCAACTCATACTTGGGTGACCCTGCACGGGTTCTAACAAATGGATCATGCTGGGGCAAACTGGAACCCAACACGTGTAGGGTCCCCTGACTGATTCCGTTGGGAATCAACCAGTAGATTCAACGGAAACTCACGCAAAGCAATGGCGAACAGTGAGTGTGTTTGGAGCTGGTACCTGCACCCACGATTCTGAGGCAGTATCCCTTTGCTTTCGTTTCAGGGTCGAAGGGAAGTCCACACAAAGAAACAAAAATAGATTCGCAACAGGGGTCCATGGGATATTGGCTTGATGGGCACGGTACCTGTCCATAGTCTCGCAAATAGCAATCGGTTTAGGCGTGGAATGCCCCCCTCCGCAGCATTTACTGCTGATGGTCTTTGAGACATCAGCGGAAAAAAAGTGCCGTCAGCACTTTGCATCGGGAAGATCTAAACGGTTTTCGTGTGATTCTACAGGTTGATTCCTCATTGTTTTCAACCAGCGTTGTTTTCAAAAAACAGTGCTTTCCGTTGTGTTTGTGGCAGGCCCTGGGCAGAATGGGGAAGTGGCCACTACAGTGATGATTGCAAGCTGAACACAAGATGTGCACAGGCAGATCAACTCCTACTTCAAAGGGATGGAGACATCACATCAAGGTCTGAAATTGGATTTTGGGTTGCCTATGTCCTCAGTGCTGTCACTATCTGTCACTCTCACACATGAGCAATCTGATCAAAGTCAGTCACTTGCTGCGGAAAGAGCCCCAGAACACATGGCAAATCTGGGCAGACTTCCCCCCTAAAACCGTCGCTAGCCCGGGAACCCACACATTGATAGATATCTCTTATAACCATTTTGGCGAACCTAGGCTTGTGCTTTAGACAAAACAGCGCTAAGCCGGGAGTTTCCAAAACAATTGTCCATCCGAAGCTCTGAGTTTGCCCAAGCTCATGATCTGCTCCATATTTCGCATATCTCATGTGAAATATAAGTAAATTCAAGAGACATCCCAGGAAATAATCCGTTCGCAGCCATTTCTGGAGTGACAAAGTAAACAGGCCAAGAATGATGAGCGGATTCCTTCAAATTGTTTTCGCTACTTGTTGTTTTGCTTCCCCCCGTTTTGCATGTTTGCATTTTTTTTCCCGGGGAAATGTCACCTTTTGTGAATGGGGATGAAACCTATGGTTCATTGATCCATTCACTTGCCGAAAGGACCTGGAAAGGAAAGGTTAGCCTTGTGGGATCTTGACTACGTATAAAATATCGACCAACACAACTTTGACTAAATAAAGACATCGAGATCAACTAAATATAGAAAAGAGAACCAACAAGTTCAAAAGGTCGACTCGCCTTGGCGACTGAGAATCTTCAGGTGGAAAACCGCTGGGCGTCCCTTAGCTCGACTCACATGCGGTCCGGCGCTTCGGTCTCGCTTTCCAGGCCAGGCTGCACGACCTGAAACGGCAGCCGGCATCCTATTGTCCAGGTGACGTCCTCAAAATGACCCCCCAAATGTACACGTTTAAAGGGAAAGTGATTCACATAGGACATCAGGGCTCCTTCCCAAATTGTTGCTTTGAAATTTAGTGAGTCCCCCCAATCCCGAACCCCAAATGGAACCATGCCAAAAAACAGCTCAAGTTTTGACCGAACCTGGAAGTATGTCGCCATGTGTCAAAGTACTTTTCCCAGAGGACGTTGTTGGATGAAGTCCTTCTTGCCTTGGTTTGCAATGTAGATGAACTGACAAAGGTCTAAACTTCTTGAGAAATGGCCACTGGTACCCAAAGCGTCTTCAAGGTACCAACGAGCTCCTTTTCGCCTCCAAAACCGTCCTTGCATCCTGCGTGAGCGTTCTCAAAGGGCTGCTCTTTTTGGAACCCCCTTGAAAAACAAACAAACAAACAAACAAACAAACAAACAAGTCAAGTCTGGGGCTCCAAGTTCTTGCCGAAGCCAGAGTCATTAAATGCCTCGATGACGATACTGCTGGGGTCCCCTAAACCGTGACGCGAGAAATCAGGAGGGTTGCTCGCCATCATACAGACCACGCAAAAGCACGGGAAGCAACCCCATTTTTGGAAACCAGTGGATCCCAGTTACCCATATAGTCATATGGTAGGTAAGCAGTCATGGTTCTTGCGGTTTGGAAAGGGTGGCTCCCTTGGTGGCCTACTATACAGGTAAGTGGATCCACTGACCACTGACCCAAAAAGATGCCAAAGGCCAACTTTCATCTGGATGGATCCCCAATCAACCCATGCCGAAGCCTCACGAGGTTAAAGCTAGACTAACCAGTTTGCGTGTGCCTTTTCCGTGTTTCTTTGTTCCAAAGTTGTTGGTGCTTGTGTAGCATTCTCATAGTACTGTGCTACTGCATATTCACGAACGCGATCCCAGTGGATCCCTAGGCAGCCATTTGCTTTTGTCTTCGTTCCTTGATCACCTACACAGGCAAATGCATCGACCAAAACGATCGCCATATTCTGGAAAAATGCCAGTCCTTGCATGCCCCCCTCCAAGCCGACCCGGAGACTAATCTTTCAATGGGCTCGTCTCCTTCCGCATGGCTTCGCTTCAAAACGACGCGCGGAGCTCCCAAAAGTGATGACACACACATTTCAAGACATACTCAAAATAGGCGACCCCCCAAAACACAAAAGCAGATGACTGACCCCCAACACAAAAGAAACAAAATGTGGACCCCCCCACCTCACCCCCCACCCCCCCGGTGCTCTCTCGCGGCTTGCCCCAAAACGGTCCACTTTTGAGGCTCCAGGGCTCGTACCGCGGGGTCGCGGTCCACCTGAAGCTCACAGGACTCCATGGTGAAGCGGATCAAGATCTTGTACCTCGACCCAGCTTGGAACATTGAAAACATATATGTATAATATATATATATATATGCGTGTATAGATATGTACATATATATGTACATATATATGTGTGTATAGATACTGTGGATGGACGAAATCCGTTCGCACCAGTTTGAAACCATAGGAAGGCAGTGTTTGTTGGTATTGACAGGGGGGGGTCATCATTGGAGGGTTTCTTAGGTGGTGCAGGATTTTGTCCATCCACAGTACGTATATATCTATATATGTTTACACAAATGATGTATATATTGTCCCCGGAGCCAAGCAAGAAAATACGAACTCTGTGTCTCGGATCGCACAGCTGCTTTATATAATGTACACACTGCTACAACATGTAGTTGTATGCATCCATGCATGCATACGTACATACGCAGGTACGTATGTAAGTATCTGTATGTACGTCTATGTAAATGTAGGTATGTAGGCATGTAGGTGTGTAGGTATGTAGGTATGTAGGTATGTATGTAAGTATGTATGTAGGTATGTAGGTATGTTGGTATGTAGGCAGGTAGGTATGTATGTATGTACGGCCGTATGTCTGTATGTGTGTGTGTATGTATGTGTGTATGTGTGTATGTGTGTATGTGTGTATGAGTGTATGTGTGTATGAAGGGAATGTACGTATGAATTTATGTATGTATGTATGTATGTATGTAGGTATGTATGTATGTATGTATGTATGTATGTGTATGTGTCTGTGTGTGTATGTATGCATGCATGCATGCATGCATGCATGAATGCATGCATGGATGCATCGATGCATGGATGCATGGATGCATGGATGGATGGATGGATGTATGTACGTATGTACGTATGTAAGTATGTGTGCATGTATGTGTATGTATATGTGTATGTGTATGTATATGTGTATGTGTGTGTATGTGTATGTATGTGTATGTTTGTGTATGTATGCATGTATGCATGTATGTACGTATGTATGTATGTATGTTTGTATGTATGTATGCATGTATGTGTATGTATGTATGCATGCATGCATGCATGCATGGATGCATGGATGCATGGATGCA